CAAGCAGCATTTCTCTACGCAGCGGGGGAGCAGGCTGTGAAGCACACTGCCGAGGTCAGCAGTAAGGCGAGCGAGCGCTGTGTATTCTCAGTTCAAAGAGGTGGGTGGACAAATTTTGGAAAGTGTGAGTCGGGGTAGAGATGCTGAACTCGAGTCCTGGGGTTAGCACGATAAAAATTCCAGTCAATTTTGTATTTGAAAAAGCAGCAATAAAGACAGGTGTTCATCATGGACGCTCTACCTGGCCTTTGCATCTCCTGATGCAAAAGGGCTGGTCTGCCTCACAAAGATAACAGGCATTCACTCGGTGACATCAAATGAATGGCTTTAGTGTGCACAGCGGACCCAGCTCCCCAGTACAGCTTATCAAATCTCATAGATTTTTTCACCCCTTTTCTGATGACCCTATTGAACTCCACAGGGACAGAATTCAGCAAAAATGAAATGGGTTTATTTTAATATTACTGTAGACATTAGGGCTGTGCGAAATTTCACCGTGTGTTTCCTTTCGAAGCTGCTTCAATGCATTTCAAGCTCGAATGAAACGAAAAGCATCGATACAGCTTGAAAAGTTTCAAAAGTTTCAAAACGTTTTGAGTTTCGAAGCAGCCCGGAGGTGGGAGGCAGCGGAGAGCCAGGGCTCCCTTCTGAGAGTCTCCGCAGCCCCACGTAGCTCAGCCCCGCGGCGAGCACAGGCCTGGCCGGACACAGAGGGTAGGCGGGGGTGCTCGGTGGCAGCACGAGGCAAGGCCAGGGAGGTGGCGGGGAGGAGGGAAAGGTTGGGGAGGCAGCAGGGAGAGAGGGAGGGTCATGGTGGCAGTGCACCACCTCTGCCTGCCACTGGGCCCCAACAAAAGCCAGCAGGGAGGGGAAGGGGGGACAATGGGAAAGAGACAGGGTCACAGTGGTGGCACGCTGCCACCGCCCTGCCAACAGGCAGGAGGAAGGGAGGGAAGTGGGGAGAGGCGGCAGGCAGACGTGGGCCGGGAAGACCCAGAAGAGGGGTGAGGGGGGAGCAGCACCGGACCCAAAGCAGGAGAGAGGGGCGGAAGTGGGGTAATGGCCCCGGACCTGAAGCTGGGGGACAAGGGAAACAGGGCCAGACCCGCCGCGCCAGGGGTGGGGCCTCTGTCCCCCTCCATCCTCACCATCTTTCCTGATGAGCAACTTGCTAGTTATTTTATAATTATCAGAAAATCTATAAATCTACCCCAGAGTGCTTCTCAGGAAGTAGATTCATATATTTGAGCATCCTTATAGATACATATGAGCATGTAAATCAGGGGCGGGCAATTATTTCGGGTGGAGGGCCACTTACTGAGTTTTGGGAAGCCATCAAGGGCTGCAGGACAGGCAGCCAGGGGCAGATAACTATTCATTTTCTAAATGTTTTAGGGGCTCCGTGGGCCAGATAGAATGGCCTGGCGGGCCGCATCCGGCTCGTGGCCTGCATTTTGCCCACCCCTGGTGTAAATAAATATGTATTTGTGTGTGTCAGAGTGAGAGCGAGAATGGATATGAACGTGTGGGCATGGGTGGCAGGAAGGTGCATTTATTTTCTTAGAAATCACTCTGGCATAGATTTAAAGACGTGTGGATAAATTGTTAAATACATTTAGCAACTCTGAGGCTCAGGATGGAGTGGAGTTCTCTAGAAAGAATTAAGGTGTATGTGTATGTGCGGGTACATACATGTATTTAGGTATGCATATGTATGTATGCGTGTGTGAAAATGTAAAATAAATCTCAAAAAGTTGCTGCGAGGTAAATTCATGTTGGTAAAATGCAGCAAGCTCCTCAGATGAAATTGCAAAGCATAATTCTTATTGCAGACGAATTAAAATTTCCGAGTTCAGACTGAGCTGAGTTCCAAAGCCGAGCACCACTGCCGTCCTGGGGTAAGTGCACATGGGAGATGCCTTTGGTGGTATTAAGGTAGGGTGGGACTCAAATTTGAAACTTAGAGTATAATCCCTATCCCGGCTTCTCTCTCGTCAGTCAGCCCTGACGTCCCTGTTCAGACCCAGGCCTGATCATTATTGTTTTCTCAGAATTGCTAAATATCTTTAGGAAGCAGACTCGTTAGTGATAACCTCTGCGTGCCACATGCCAATGTGTTTCGCTTTTGCGAGCTACTGACTTCTCTGCTCCTTAAAACGAGTTCTTGCCGGGTTTTAGCTCTGTGGTCACAGCCAGGTCTCGCACAAGGGAAAAATATTCATTGCAGAACTAAAAATAGTAGAGATATCACAGCAGTTCACATTTGTTCTTCCTAGCATCTACACTATTGGCAATGGATTTGTGAGCTTCCAGACTGAGTCTTCACAGGACGGACCAGAGTTGCAGAGGGGTGTAGAGAAGGGCTGAATTTAAATTGTAGGTCGGATCCTCAGCTGATATAAGGCACTGTCTGGGTTTACACCAACTGGTGATTTCTGGTTTAATGGAGCTAATGAGTGTAAGAAGAGGACTGTGATTCTAATATAGAAACAATCAAGCAAGTGATTGACCTATAATATTAACAGAAACACCTGGGGATGGGAAAGCCTGAAAAGGTTCTGGGAGTTAGCTGAAATAAGCAATCCAGGAGTTCAGTGTCCATCAGCGTAAAGAAAATCCTTTCCTCCCAGGAGAGGACATATACAGTACAGATGCTGTCAGCCTCATAGAAAGGTTATCAGGCTCTGGGATGTTCTATAGCAACAGTCCCCAGGCTTTTTCCGCAGGGACCCCACACCCAATCTGGCCTCCCGATCTCTCTAGAACAAGCTTTCATTCTGATTTTGTATCGTTTCCTCCTTCTCGCGCAGCAGCTTAGCACTTCTGGAGTTAACCACAACTCAGAAATACAGCCAGCAAGGTGGAAACACAGAATGATCAGAAAAGTAACAGGTGAGCCGATGCTTTTGCACCTCAGGAAAAAAAGACTAGATTCAAGCTTTCAGCCAAAGACCAAGAGATATTTTTATATTAGGGGAAGCAAGACATCCAAGTCCAGTTGCCATCCTGGATGCTCGATCCACCATGCACAGAATGAATTTAAACTTAAAACAAAAGGGACGTGCATGCAAGAAAGAGTGGTCCAAAGTGCATCTGTGAAACCTTACTGATGACAGTGGAATTTCGCTAGAATAAAATATTACTATCCATGCATGCATTTGTATGCATGGCTAGTTTTTACACACAGAAACACGCATCCAGGCTTTAAATGTAGGATCACAGGCAGCGTTCCCTCTAAGCAGTGTGGCTCATGCCACGCACGCCACGTGGCTTAGAGGGAACGCTGATCACAGGCTATTTTTTTTTCTATGAGGCCCACATTTCTTTCAGTGCATAGGGTGGACAACGATCATTCAGGGAGCAGATATTAAGCATTGCTTCTTATTGCTCAACATGTTGTCCTCCCCCCCAAAAAGCTTATTTACTGCACGCTAAGCACACACACACACATATATACATATACATATGAGTGTGTGTGTGTGTGCGCACGTGCGTGCGTGCTTGCATTTGAGTTACCAAAAGTTAAGCATTCTGAATCCCTAAGACAAATACTGTCTTGGCTTCACTTCACTGACATCAATGAAGCAGTACAAGAATAAGCCACAAGCAGAATATGTCTCCCTCTCCCTGCGTGAAAGATTTTTGGTCAGAAGGCCCGAAACCAGCTTCCATTAAAGCAACTGGAAAGCCTCCAACTGAGTTAAGCATTAGTGAAAGAGTCTTAAATCCCCATCTGATCTAATTTACACCAGTGTCAGAGAGATTGCAATCAATATTGTATTTAGCTCCAACCCATTGATGGCTCTGAGGAGGAAAGGTTGAAGTATTATGAATTAAAAAATCTCTCAAGCTTAATATCAGCAAGGGATGATTATTTCTTTTGATTTGTCAGCCTAATTGAAAACAGCTTTATAGTTAGCAGATGATTAATTAGGAGCCAACAAGATCTCCATTTGCATCTCAGTAATTGTCCACTCCATTTTATTTCAACATCTAGGCTGGTTGTTTAAAGTAGTCAGCAAGAAAGCAGAAAGGTGATTCACAGCAGACTGTAAAATGGGTGCCATTTGTTTTGGGTTTTCTTTTGCAATTTTTTTCCCCCTACACATTTTGTCAACAAATCAAAAAGGGAAAAATATGCAAAGTTACAAAATGGTCTGTGTATGTGTATACACCATATACAGTCTATCCTCATCTGTGCTAGACCTATTTTGGCTACATTCATTCAGAGACAGGGGGCAGAGCAGATAAAACAAAGATAAAATAAGAAGCCAAAATCTTATCTGGCTCAGTTTGGATTCATCTTGTAAGGTAACAGGAACCAAGGACCCGATCCCAAAGCCCCCTTACATGAGAAATCGTGATTCACATGAACAATCCCATTGTGATAAATAGAGCCAAGTCGTTATTGCCCCATTTAATCGTGTACCCAGAAGGCAGCATGTATAACTGCACTACCAGATCAAAATGGTTGTATTTTATATTTGCTTTGCCCTGGAGTAAATGATTATGTGCATTTCAGAACAGGGTGGAATGGAGCCCAGTGGGCCTAATTCTGACTTGCTTCACGGAGATGTAAATCTTACTCGGCATTCATCCCAGCAAATGCATTGGAAGCACAATTAAGAATGACCCGAGGGTGTGAATACTAGCTGGGAAGTTGCAGGTCAGATGAATTCAGTGGTTGCAGTGCATACATCTGCTGCGGCAAACCTCATTCACGTGCACGTTTTCTTTTGGGGGGGTTTCTGTGAACTTTATTTTGGTGTAATGCTTCCACGAAGTCCACGTGCATGCCTCTGTGTTGCCAGCCTGTATTCTCATGAGTCCCATGATGTTGGGAGGTCCTTGAAAAGGCCTAGCTCTTGGAACTGAGCATTCCCTCTCTAATGTCAAAAGTAAGTCTCCAGCCTCGGTGCTGGTGAGGCAAAGCCCAAAATGCAAACCGCAAAGACCGAAAACACCACAAAGCCAATAAAAAGAACTCAACATTTATTATCTTTTCTCATAAAGGTTGCCGTTTTCAAACAAAGCGCGTGGTTTTAGGATGGTCAGGGCCAACCTTCCTCATGCTTGCTATGCTATCCTTTGCGTGCCGTTACAGCCCTCCTTCTGCAGGGAGATCCACCCATTTCTTGGAGGCATGGGGCTCTGCACAGGTAATGCTTGCTCCGGCCTCTGGATGTGCAGCGTCTCGAAGGTTATCGCTATACAGGGAGCTGGGCTAAAGCAGCAATTGCTAGCGCAAAACATAAGGGAAGCCTGTTACCGCACAAGATTCCTCTAAGGTGTTGGGGCCTATAGGCCGAGGGACTTAGGCATCCAATTGTTGTCTGTGCCTTGAAAAGCACCTCCCTAAATGGCTAATGTTATCATGGTTACCTTGGTTATCCTAGGAGATTAAACCTAAGATCTCCAAAGACAGAAACATAAGCTTCTACAGTGGCAGTGGTGGCACTGGCAGCAGCCGGGTCCTGGCACCAGCCCACCGAGGACCCACGCTGGGTTATACCAGCCCTCCGCTAAACAAATCATTGTCAACCACAGGTGTAAGGTAAAAGAGATCTTCCCCTGGTGAAGATCTGTTTGCGGCCCATGTGCCCTGGCTGTCCAGGGACGTGTAACACAACTGAACGGCGGGTTACTCTAACATGCGTGTCATTTATTTAATGGCCACAACCCTCGCATTGGCTGGAGGCGTGAGTGGGAAGAGACAGGATATCGCCCATGCCCACAGCAGCTATTGAAAAACAATCATTGAAATGAAAAAGGAAAAGAATTCCCCTCCCCATCCACAGCACAAAACACCTTAAGTCAACAGAATTTAATCTAGTTTATTCTCAAAAAAAGGAGGAAAAAATATGAAAACAAAACAAAAAAAAAAAGCAGGTCTTATCACTAGCAGTAAATAAATTTGTACAACCATTCAGTCTGTATAATAGGATGAAATAAATCTACATCTTTCTTATTTTGGTGCTTTGAATTATACATACAAACAACAATTACAGGAACTTGTTCACAATGCATATAGGCCTGGAGAATGGCTATCTGAAAACCCTCGTTGGCATATCCGTATGTTAACACTGATTGCCCTGAAAACCATTAGTACTTCCTACGTAAAAAGGCCAGCTGCTTTGAATGAATGATCTGCCTACAGTTTTATTTAGTTAGTTAGTTAGTTAGTTAATGCATCCAACATTTGGAGCCAGCCACCGACAGAAGATGAGGCTAGCAGTTTTTGTCCATTTGCTCATTAGACCCAATTCTTCTTGGTCCGTTACTTTAAAATGTCCTCCCCGTCCTCTTTTTAACATTTTTTTGTCTCTTGGAGTCCTTCATGCCCTTCTTTACAGCTACCCAGATGCAATAAAGTCTTCCTCAAATGTACAGTATTTCTTACAATATAAGTTATATGCAATGTTCAGCATTTTTTTTCACAGCACTAGAAACCCTGTTCAGTAGGGAATGTGAGTCTGAATGGCTTATTCACAAATGGGATCCAGATTCAGTGGTTAAGAATACATAGACACCATAGTGAGCTCCTTTAAAAAGTGGCAAGCATCACCTTTTTTATTTTCTTTTTTTTGTTTGTTTTTGTGGGTTTTTTTGTTTTTCTTTTTTTGCTTTTACGCCTTCAAATCACCCTTTTTTTCTCTTCTGTTTTGTTTTTTTTTGCGGGGGAGGGGGGCGGGGGGGCTTCCGAATCGATAAACCGCGTGCCTGCAAAAATGCAAGTATATAAAGTAAATCTCATTTTGAGACCTTAAGCATTTAGCAGGGAAGTGTCTCTCTAACCCATGGCAGTGACCATACTGGAAGGATGGTGAGGTCCGAAAGAGAGGCTGGATGGCGGATGCATCGGTGTCGGTGTTGTCAGCATGTGGCTAGAGTGACTGAAAGGTGAAATGTGGCTGATGGAAGACATGTGTCTCGAGAGGGCGGCGGGATTGAAGGAGCTGCTCTTGGGGAAGTCTTCAAGGTTGTCGTGGACCTTTTTGCACTTTTTGGATTTGCTAGACATTTTTCGGTTTCGGGTCTGAATTCCTTCCTTCTTCATAGTCAGGGGTCTGTTAATCTAAACAAAAACCAATTATTTTTTTTTTGCTTCCGTCCCGTCTCCCCAGATTACCGCGGCCGGGACTCACCGACACAGCACCAGCCCTTGGAAATGACTCGTGAAATTCCAAACCCGAGCAAGGCTTTTGGAGGGGACAAAACAAGCAAACAAACAAACGGAGCTGGTAGGGTTTCATGCTTGCAAAGAGCGATTTAGTAGCTTAGAGTAACCAAAAGGTTTCAGTTACCCTGTTCCAGTACACTCGGTAATTGGAGTGCGGTTGTGAAACAAGCTGGTCCCTATCACCACGCAAGATTCCTTCAAGAAACTGTCTCGCCCCCAGAGGCCTCTTGATAAAGCAAAATCTTAAATCAATAAAGCTAATGGCCCAAGACATGGTGAAATTTCAATCTCGTCTCCAAAGGACCTCAAAAACATTCTTGCCACTAAGACAAGAGCAGGGCAAATTTGGCAAAACAATGTGCTGCGCTCTACTCTTTCTTTTTTAAGCTCTTACTATGAATTGGCCTGGATGTGGGCTCTTCCTTGTTGGGCTGATTTTTCTGGGGCCACTTGCACCATGTGAATTTTGCTGTAGGGAAGCAAATTGCAAATTCACTTTTGTATGGCTGCATTCGTATTGCATTTCCGGCTCAAAGATTTGCACCAGAATTCATGTATCCGATCAGGGAGAAGAAACAGTGGCAGGTTGACTTAACTCACTTCAAACAGCAATGTTATATATTTACTGAATAATGACTAAAACTCATTCCTGGTCAGAGTTCAAGCATCATGCATACATGTCAGCTAAGTGCCACAAAGGTCTTAAAGCCCAGGTTTTAAAAGCGTTTAGCTGTCTAATTCCCATAAATACCTGTACAAATCTAGACTTCAGATCTTAAATGGGACTGAAGTGACATGCAGAACCTGTGCTGCCCTCTCTGCACAGCGGAAAATATCAGCCATACCAAATTTAATCCATCCACACAGCTTATCAAAAGGCCCCCGATACTAATCAATCCCTTTCTTTAATAACAAATTTGAGGAAATCACACCCCGCATGTGGGAAAGAGGCTATGTAGGCCTGATAAATCGTCCACTGTGAGCTGTGCTTTCTATGGCAATACACAGTGGTGTGATTATACTGGTCCCACAGTGTCTTGAATAAATTCTTTCATTCACATGTTTCTAAATCAGTGGGGAAAATTCACGCCATTGTTTCAGCCTGCAGCAAAGCTCACCTCTCTCACTTTCAAGTTATTGCTTCACTGTAGTGTATGAATCACTAAGGAATTTCTTTTCGCAATCCCCCAATGAATAAGGTAGGGCGAATATTTTCTCCATCTCAGTGATAAGAAACCAAAGCAGCAAGAGAGTATTAAGTGACTTGGCCCAGATCAAAGAGGAAGCCAGTGGCAGAGTTAGAAAAAAGAATTTAGGTTTTGCTGTCTCGGGCCAGTATCTTTAACCACAAGATCCTCTCTCTTCTCACCTTCATTTTGGTGCATTGGAGCCTTTCACTTTCAGGTCACTGGCTCTAATGCAACCCGAAGTGGGTGTACTTGATTTTTTTAACCATCTGATGGTCTATTTTGAATGAATCAAAGATGTCCCTCCAGTTCTTAGTGAAGCAGAATTCACATAATTACTGGCAGCCTCATTAGCAGGCTAAACTGCAAAGGCTGGGACAGATTGAGCACGGTGTAAACTGCCTGCTCAGTCTTAAGGACAATTAAGCATGAAGGGCATTCGCGTTGTGGCCTGAGTGGCTTGAACCGCTGCCCATCCAGCCCATCATCTCAGTTCTGCATCTACCACAGTCACAGAAACACATGGCCCCGCTCCTCCCAAGAGAGCAGGACTACAGCTGGCATGCACGCATGCAGAAGATCACATGCGGTAGGATAGCAAGTGCCATGAACATGTGTTCTCAGCAACACAGCAGGAGGAGATATCTGTATGATCACAGCAGTATGACAGAAAGAATTTTTGCTTTCTGCTGACTTGAAAGTATAGATGCAGCGTAATTGAAAGGTCACCATCACAATCGAATCCACGGGCTTTCCTGTTTCCACTGCACATAACTATGAGGCCTGGAGGGAAGGCCTTTTCAATGAAAACACTTACAAGAAGAACGATAAACACATGCTAAGTAATAAATTAAACAAGCCAAACACACATATATGAAAAGCATTAATTTCAGATGGATCCAATTAATTATGGGCAGTCCAGCAAGGAAATGTGTTCTTTATTTGATCGTATGCAAAATACCGAGGCTTCTACTCTTGGGACCCACAGCTCTGATGCAGCAGAGCTTCTGACTTTTGCAAAATAAAAGCCCACAGTTTTACCTCTTGAAATGAATAGCAACTGAACTGTGTGAGCCCAATCCTTTGCCAGGCTGAGTGCCTCCTGTGAGATCCTGAACACCCACAACTAGCACTGCAGTCAAGCAAACCTCATGTCTATGGAGTATTGCTTCCGAGGTCAATGCGTGAAGATCACCCCCAAATGCCTCTGACACAACAGATTGACTACACGGGATAGTCTCACATAGTCTCATAGCCTACATAGGACAGCCTGATCTTGCACCAGCTGAAGACAAAGGATTTTTTGCCATTGGTCCCAGTGGTGGTCTGTCATTGCTAACAGATTTATCCGTTAGACAGGCCATTATAATGCTTAATTACTGGTAATCTTCAGGATTTCCTGTACCCTAGAAAGCAGGTTGGGATCCTACTGAATAAGGGTTAATCTATAAATGTGAAAAACTAGTCATCCTTAATAGTATTGCTAATGGAGCCTGGTCCTGTTGATGTCAATGGCAGCTTTGCTAGTGACTTCAACAGAAAAAGGAAAAGGCCCCCCACCCAAAGCTATTATCATTCCGCTACTAATTCTCTGCTTACCATTGGGTTTGCTTTACCTGTAGGGATCTACTGACGCCTTAAAGAAAGCATGACCAGAAGGGAACATCCTTGATATCACTCCCTTTGCAACATTAAATGGGACCTATCCTGCCAAGGTGGAAATTGTATCAATGGGAGCTTTGCCTACAGGTGTGGGAACCAAAAGTCTCTAGCAAGAAAAAGCCCTGAATCAAAAGTGCTGAACTGAATAGAAAGACAAAAATGAGGAGGAGGGGGAATGAAAAGGCAATGACTGATGCAAAATGGACTTCATATATTTGATCTATTGTATTCAGGGATTATTAATTACGGACCCTTGTCCTAAGCAATACTGAATGTTTCTTTTCAGGGGTTGGGGGGCCTTAAATTCACCTTTCTGGACATATCTATCACTTCCTTAAGCTGGGCTTTATCTAATGAGATCCAGTGTTCCTGTAACAAGGCAGACTAGGTACTATAGAAATACATGGTGGCAGATATTTATCCCATGTAAACTGCTGCAGTTCCATCAACTTGGGTGGAACGATAGTGATTTACACCCCTGAGGTTTTCCTGTAAATCTCTTCCCCTCCAAAGGGAAGCGTGTCTACCTGCAGTATTCAAGCCCCCTCTATACCAGTGCATTGATCAAAGGACTCATCTGGCACCATTCACCAAGTGAGTTAGCACAACCTTATTAACCGTGCCTCCCGGACGGATAGCAAATGAGGGGGCCGCAGCTTGAAGGCAACTCAACAAAATGTATGATGCTTGACAGAGGATGGTGGAAATCTCTCACCACACTTGACGCTACCTTTTAACTCTCTGTTCCTCCATACGTCTATACCTGCTGTCACAACACCTTTCTCTCCCTTGAATTTTCTAATCTCTCCAATCTTTGGAGTTCATCGCCGCCTTTGTAGACAAGGACTCTAATGCTACGCGGGTGAGAGACCGACAGAAATAAACAGCACCCTGACTCTCTCTTAGTCAAGTCTCTTTAAATCAATCAGCAAGTGATGTTTTCGAGGGTAAAGCAATGCTTTGGTGAATTGGCTCACAGGCACCCCCCACTCTCCCAGCATAGCAGCCACTTAGTGTCATCTACAGTGGGAAAAAGAGGTTCTTATTAATTTAAGGCCAGATTCTTATACCCTTTCTTACACTGAATCATTTCATACTTCACTAGTTATCCCACTTAAGTCAATGGATTCACTTGTAACTAAGATATTACTTGACTGAAGTGATGGTGTCAGAAACCGAACTCCACTATAGTCTCTATGAGTGGTGGTGTTATCAGCTGAAGGCGCATTCGGGCAACGTGAAAGGGGTTTCCTATCTGCTTGGCACGGGACACCTGGCACACGGCATAAAATTCACAGCTGGATCTGAGCTGCCCAAAAACTGGGATCCGGGTTTTATACTCAGACCCATCTCTATACACAACTTCCTGGTGAAAAGGTAAGAGGCAGATGAGCCTCAAAAAGACAAGTTGGGATACAGACCCAGATGCTCAGAAACTCTGCCAAATGTCTTGCGTCTGTGCTACCGAACTGAAAGCTCTGCAAGGGCAAGTTCTCTTCTGAAATCCCTCATCCTCCTGGCTGCCTCTTGGACTGGAAATATCAAAGAAAGGCCCTTTCCTATGATACGTCAGAGGTTCCCCTGTCAGGGTATAATCCCACTCCCCTTGGAGGCAACGCAGCATTTTCCTTGATGTCACTGGGACGAGAATAGGGCTGTTAACTGATCACGTAGGAACCACAGAGCATAGACAGGTGTGAAAACTGAAAGTGGTGGGGAAGTTAACCAAACTTTTTTTTTTCAAGCAAGATGCCTGTCACAGCATAGGCAACGACTCTGGTTCAATACATATACTATATATATATGTATATATATAACCTGTTTGTTCATCCTTAAAAAAGGAGCCAGCTTGAAAGATTAAATGGAAAGGATGAAAATGAAGATCAGACTGATAGCCTTGGCTAAACCCATGTAACCCCAGCAAGCTTTGATGGGTTTGTGTGGGTGTACATGAGGGCAAAATGTAGCCCAATATTTCTAAACGAAACATCAAGCAAACGACCACTAAAAAAAAAAAAAAACCTGACATCAAAGCAAAGAAATTGAAAGTCTTTTCCTTCTTCTGACATTATAATTATTCTAATGCTATGTATGGAATGAAAGTAACAGTGGGAGCCTTAAGACTCCTTTATTATTCTTCAGTATAACTCTTTTCAGCTCCCTTTAGCTCTTTCCTTAGGGCACCTATCCTTGGTTCATGGGAGCTGTCTTTGCATGGAGCTATTAGATTAAATCTACCAGGCATTTCATTTCATTTCTCTTTCCCTTCCACAAACGAGGCTTTATACAATTAACATTACAGATTTTACAGGCTCCCTAGTCCACTAACTAAATCATGTTCTCTTCAGTTTAGGAATCACTTGTGTCATGTAGGGCAAAAAAATCAAGAGAGCGAGAGAAATAAATAACCATCTGGGGGCTGAAGCAGTGAGGAAAGAGGTGAAGGAACAAGCAAGATCTAAATCATGCCTGGCAGGTCTTGGGTTTTTTCCAAAGTTCTTGTTTGCTTGAGACACTGGACTAGGCATACAAAGCATATCAGTTTGCAACCCAACATGTTGTGTTTTCCAGTGCGCAGGGTCCAATAAGAGGCGGATATAATCTCTCTCCGCTGATAAACTCCTCCTTTCTTGGCTGGCGCATGGTGAAGCTCTAACGTTACCAATGGACGGTCCTGTTTTAGAGCACTCCAAACCAGGCCTGTTACATCAATTGTACTTTAATTTGATTTGGAGGGGATCTGATTCCTTATCCCAGCAAATGGCCTGACCCCAAGAGGTCTCCCCAGGAGACCAAAGGGTTATTCAGATGCTCTCAGGATTGGGGCCCATTTAATCAGGGAGGATGTTTCAACGCGTGCAATCGCAACGCAAAGCACCATCCAAGTGGTACTGTTCGACTTACATTGTGCAGCTTGTAGTAGAGCCCACAGGCATTGCAGACGGGGTCGCCGTTGGCGTTTCTCCTCCACAGAGTAGTAGTGGTGGTCTGACAGTTTGCACAGGATGTGCCTGCTCTTCTCGCTGCAGACTAAAGCAGGGTTGGAGAGAAAAGCATCCGGATTAAAATGATGCAATCAGCCAAATCCCGAGGCAGAGAACACTGACCGCCCCAAACTGACGCACAGCAATAAATGACTCCAGAAATTAGCTTGTGAGAACAAAAGAATAATCCTGAAAATCCCCACGGTGCCTTAATGCCAAACTCTATAGGAGCTGAGCCAGGTGCCCAAGGGCATCCAAAGGTAGGTGCTCAGACTCACGCAGGGCTCAAGCAAATTGGCAGCGCCTTTCAGAGGGGACAAGGATCACTCTCAAATAATGTCATGCCATTCCCTCTTCTTCCAGATGCTCAGGGCCTGATTCTGACTTTGCATCCTAAACCAACAAGCAAAGGACTCAATGGAAAGATAAGCACTGACTTCAGGACATGTTGGATTAGACTTTATTGGATATGCCAAGTGTGGCCTCCACTGGGGGTGTTGAAAATGGAAAGACTGGAGATTCAGACCCACTCCTGTAGCTGTAGGTACCTTGAAGCTCATGGATCTACCAATGTCAGGGCTGCACATACTATTGCCAGCCAAAGCGACAGCACCTGACATTGTGATCACATCATTTAAACCAAACTTGTAGGCACAGCTGAGTATGATTTACAGCCTTGAATTCAAAATGTGGAATTTTATGTCAAACCACGTAGCAAAGGGCACTCGCAGAGCCTTCCTTGTTCCCTGTGTGAATCTACCCAGACATCTAGCAACTTCCCGACACGGTGCATTCCTAGCAAGGTTTGTAATGAACAGCCAACGCTTAACCCCACTCCAATCCTCCCATACAGAAAATATAACATCCCTAAACTTTACTGTGGATGGGGTCTCAAATCAGACCTTTTAATGCCGCACAATTCAGTCCGCCCTTCGTGAACACTAAATAGAACCTGAGCTCTGTTTCCACGCCTCTTTATTGGCTTCCATTGGGTCGCGTATATGCTAAAAATTAAGCATGTGCTTAAGTAATTTGCTGATTTGCCAAGGGTAATTCTTGGCACCTTGAAGAACAGAGTCTAATTCCCTTTGTGCTCCAAACCACCCCATGACAACCTGCTTTAGCTGTATACTGAGGCACACACCATGTGAAAACACCACCGAGTCTTTAGACACAGTACAGCAAACCCAAACTACAAACATAAATGTAAGGGGCACTGTCAGCATTAGCATTATGCTGCCTGGCTTTTGTTAGGGCCACTCACAACATTAAAAGTAATTAACTCTTGGGAAAGGGAATGGGGCTGGTTTTGTTCATACAGATCAGGGGTTTGATTCTTTAGCCCAGAGAAAATCTACCCCATGCCTGCATTAACCTGCTGGGAAATCTCTCTATGATCTGATGCAGAGATCTGGTGCAGTGGGAGTGTATCTGGGCTGCAGGGATTAGGCTCTAGCTATGTAGGCCCAATAGGCAAGGTGTGCAGCAATACAGGAATCATTTTAGCCTTGCTTGTGTTTTAATGGCAAAAGACATTCAAAAAGCCTGAGGCGGGATCAGTCTAAGTTACACGGTTTTCTGTAAGCAGAACAGTTTAGATCGGTAGCGAACACAACACCCATTTGCCCTTTGGTGGGGGGTGGGCAAATCTTAGACCGGGCCGGGCCATTTTTAAATCAGTCTGTGTGCACCGAACTTCTGTTCTGTCACAGGGGCAGACCAGTTTCCAATCACTTACACCAATAAAAGTGCAGTGTCTGTACCCTGCCTACGTGTGTGTCTGTAGCTGAAAACAGGGAAAAACCCAGGGATTTTGAAAGGCCTGATTCTGTTCATGATCAGGATCCAATTTAGAGACCTGATCTCAAGCACTGGAAAGACTCTAAGTTACTTCAGCAGGCTGTAGATTGGGCCCAGATGACGTGAAAAATAATTGCAAATGTCGTATTTTCTACCTACTTGAGGCCACCCAAAAAAAAAAAATGCAAGTCAAGGCAGGTGACAAAAGTCAGTCAGCCAGTGATTATGGGCAAGAGAGATATTATCTTATTGTTATATATTGTTTCACTGCTCCCAGGGGGTGTTCTAGGATAGCAAGCATGCAACAACCCACTGCGCGCAGCTAACTTTTAAAACCTGGCCACTCTTCTTAGCCCATCACACATGATTTTCCAGTGCAAAATATCCACTGCCAGCACTATATTCAGATTTAAAGGATTATGGTCTGTAAATGCATGCTTGCTAGGAAGAGGGAAAAGATGTGTGTGTGTGCGTGTGTGTGTGTGTGTACTACTCACACCTTGATCCTAATCTTGCAAACTTAGCCCTGGAAACACTTTCGGCCCATGTGCAACACCAAGTATGTGAGTAATGTCCTTGAAATCAACAGGACCAGACATGTGCTTATAGTTAAGCATGTGCATAAGTATTTACAGGATCTAGGTCCGCAATTGGGCTGAGAGCAGCTTCTGCATATTCAGCTCTCACGGACTCCCATGGACCCTCCAGGAACAGAACAGCAACAGGAGCAAGACTTTCAATGGGAGTTTTTGTTCTGAACAGACAGGAAGGATCAGGCCTGTGGGGATTTCTGAAAACCAGTGATATTTGACTCAGCCCACACAAAAGGAAATGTCTCCTTTGGAGACATTTGGAGGGTTGGTGCAATCTGTGGCTGCCGTTCACAGTAACTCCATACATGACGCATGTAGTTGAAAGGCCAGAAAAAGAAAAGAGAAGGCTTGCATAAGTAGCACTTTTTAAAAACCAACGAAACAGCCAAACTGCCCCTTCAGAAGAATCAATCACTAAATTCGCCATACGACCTAAAACCTTCTCCCCTCATTGGAGTTTGCATGTGATTCTCAGGCCAGGTCGTCTCAGAGCACATAGGCACAGAAGAGGATACGATCCTTTGGTCAAGGACTGTATCTTTCATGATATGCCTTCCTGTACCGACGACTCCATCGTTGCTCAGGAAACAATGCATAATTACACTGCTC